TGGTGTTGGTCCACTGTGTTTTATCAAGGGCAGGGTCAATGCAGCTAGCTATCAGGAGATTTTGGAGCACTTCATGCTTCCATCTGCTGAAAAGCTTTATGGAGATGAAGATTTCATTTTTCAGCATGACCTGGCACCTGCTCACAGTGCCAAAACCACTGGTAAATGGTTTACTGACTATGGTATTACTGTGCTCAATTGGCCTGCCAACTCTCCTGACCTGAACCCCATAGAGAACCTGTGGGATATTGTGAAGAGAAAGTTGAGAGACGCAAGACCCAACACTCTGGATGAGCTTAAGGCCGCTATCGAAGCATCCTGGGCCTCCATAACACCTCAGCAGTGCCACAGGCTGATTACCTCCATGCCACGCCGCATTGAAGCAGTCATTCATGCAAAAGGATTCCTGACCACAGAACAGTCTTCCATTTTGCCACACTCCATTTTAAATGACCCCTGGCCCAGTGCAAACGTCTGAGCTTGTGGAGCTTGCTTAGAAATGGCTTCCTCTTTGCACTGTAGAGTTTCAGCTGGCAACGACGGATGGCACGGGATTGTGTTAGCTGACAATGCTTTCTGGAAGTATTCCTGAGCCCATTCTGTTATTTCCTTGACAGTGGCATTCCTGTTTGAGGTGCAGTGACATTTAAGGGCCCGGAGATCACGAGCATCCAGTAGAGTTTTACGGCCTTGACCCTTACGCACAGCGATTGTTCCAGATTCTCTGAATCTTTTGATGATGTTATGCACGGTTGATGATGATAACTTAAAAGTCTTTGCTATTTTACGCTGGGTAACACCATTCTGGTATTGCTGCACTATCTTTCTGTGCAACAATGGTGGAATTGGTGATCCTCTTACCATCTTGGCTTCTGAGAGACACTGACACTCTGAGAAGCTCTTTTTATACCCAATCATGTTGTCAATTGACCTAATTAGTGTTAACTGGTCTTCCAGCTGTTCGTTATATGCTCAATTTCCTTTTTCCAGCCACTTATTGCTACTTGTCCCAACTTTTTTGGGATTTGTTGACACAGTGAAATTTTGAATCAACATATTTTTCCTTTAAAATGTTACATTTACTCAGATTAAACTTTTGATCTGTCATCTATGTTATATTACGAATAAAATATTGACATTTGCCATCTCCACATCATTGCATTCAGTTTTTATTCACAATTTGTTTAGTGTCCCAACTTTTTTGGAATCCGGTTTGTATACAGGTATATATATAATTATTATTAATTTTTTCCCCTTCTTCTTTCGGCTGCACCCTTCTTCAAGGATTGCCACAGCGAACTAAGTCGCATGAAGACTTGGCAGTTTTAAAAGAAATTTTTTTTTTTTTTTTACGCCAAATGCCCTTCCTGACGCAACCACAGACCACCGAGCTACCACAGCCCTCTGTGTGGAGCAGAGAGCTGTTATCTAGGACACCTGGAGGAGCAGATGGTGGGGGTTAAGGGCCTTGCTCAGGGGCCCAGAGTGGGACGAATGAGGGTGGGAGCAGGTGTGAGTGCTTCACCTACCCCACACACATTTTTGATGTTGTCGGTATACATATATATGTATATATAATACAATAAAGTAATGCTGAAAGTAATTGTATATATAAATATATATATATATATATATACTGTACATATATATACATATATTTATGTATATATATATATATATAAATGTGTGTGTGTATATATATATATATATATATATATATATATATATATGTAGATAAGATATAGACATATAATGTGTATTATATATATACATGATGGCAGTATTATTATATAAAACAGAGATATAATGTGTGTGTGTGTGTGTGTGTGTATATATACACTAAATATGAGATAGTCATGAAAAGTGACTTCTATGTTTTGGCGTGAAGGGCTAGACCAGCTTTATAATTATCTCTCTTTCAGACTGCCAATATATACCTGTATATAAATATTAAAATAAACTACTACTTATTACTATTACTATTATGGGGGAGTGGTGGCGCAGAGATTAGAAGATGGGCTTGTGATCAGAAAGTCGCAGGTTCACCTCCTAGTACCGTCAACATCAAAATGTGGGTGGAAACACCCACACCTCCCTCCACCCTCCATTCACTCCACTCTGGGCCCTTGAGCAAGGCCCTTAACCCCCACCATGTGTTCCCTAAACAGGTCTCTCTTGAAAATGAGTTCTCGTGGCTCAATGAGACTATTTGGATAAAAAAAGGGTAAATGAAAAAAAATATATATATATTAAATAGATATAACATATACACAGTAGTCCTTCATTTATCGCGGGTTCACACTCATCACCTGTTACTTCCAATCTCCCTCCTAAAATAAACAATTTAAATTTAAATACTGTAACATTTTAAACAAACAATCCATGCAACATGGATTGTTTGTTTAAAATGTTACAGTATTTTAATTTAAATTGTAGAGAAGTGCAGCAGGACATCAAAGGGTTGTCACACAGCTTCAGCTCTGCAGCACGGAGCAGAAATGTTCTTCTTGATCAATTACACATAAACAACTGAACATAGAAGTTCTAAAATAATTAAAAATAACTTTTAACACTTATATTTTGTGATTAAGACGATTTTACAATGTGACATACTTTGAGTTTTAAGTTGGAAGACAAAAGTCGATCGGTGCATCTGGACAGCAAAGGGTTAACTCTTCACAAGGCCGATGCAGCACAGAGGAGAAATGTGTGCATGGCAGAGAAGAAGATCAGCTGATCAGCTGCAGGAGAGAGCTTCCCCTGCACTTGTGGGCTGCACACATGGTTCAAAAAATTTTAAATAATTTATTTTAAATACAAACCCATGGCTCATCCATCAATCAGCCAATTGCGTCATGTCCAATCTTACTTTGAAAAACCGCGATATAGCGAATCTGCGAAAAACGAACCGCAAAGTAGCGAGGGACTACTCTGTATAAAGTATTTAGTCAGCCACTTATTGTGCAAGCTCTCCTACTTAGAAAGATGAGAGGTCTGTAATTTTCATCATAGGTAAACTTCAACTATGAGACAAAATGAGGGGGAAAAAAATCCAGGAAATCACATTGTAGGATTTTTAAATAATTTATTTGTAAATTATGGTGGAAAATAAGTATTTGGTCAATAACATCAAGACAAGAACTTTGATGTGTTGAACCACTTTGGCTGTGGCTGCCTGGGAGGAGTCGACAGGGGACAAGACAGGCCCCAGAAACCATGTTATCATCAGCAAACTGGTTGGTCCACTAAAAGAGTGTGTTGCTTAGTGGGGAAAACAGTTTACTTATGACTCCTCAGACTGATGAAGCCCTCTGGATAGAGGGCGAAACGTCTTTTTACAAAAAACAAACTGTCCGTATGACCTGACTGACCATTACTGGGATGATACCATTTACTTCCTCTGGGAGAAATATTTCTAACAAAAAGCTTCACGTGTCACATTATTTCAGATAAAGCTTTAGTAAAGAGGAAGAGGCCCACACGGACAGAACTTTAGGGTTCTGTTCATGTTCTGTAGATGATTTTGTCCAACATGAACAGGACTAAGTCTGCTGGCTTCCTTAGATAACTTTACTAATTGATTATTTTAATGTATGTGAATGTTTTTGTTTAGTGCCCCGAGACAACGTCTGTTGTCGTTATAGACATAAAATGAATTGAATAGAGTTTTAACGGAGCTCTCATCTACATCTCGTTAGCTTTTGGAGTCAACCCGACTGAAGATTACTGCTATGGCTAGCTGACCCTAAAATGCTAAAACAGCTATATTTCAGTTAATCTTATAATTGTACGACAGTCTCACACATTTCCTTCAAGTGCTCCTTATTGAATAAGATTGTTCCTTACAACTTGAGCTTGAACTGTTGGATTAAACTTTGTTAGCAAAATATCTTATGAACCACTGAACAGGTTTAAATTGAATCTCTTATAAAGTCATGACACCTACAACTGGTTATTCAAAAAGACCGCCACTGCTAATCAACCTTACAAAAAAACAACATAAAAATGGCTGTAATGCAGTGTAATCGTTTGAGCTAACGTTTCATGTGGTAGTAGCTGAGAGTCATTCACAACATACATGTGAGATCACCCATCAAAACACGAGATCACACTGATCTTAGTGTAAAACTTTGACATGAAAGGCAGCGGGAGATGTGTGTTCCTCATCTTTTATTGGATTGTATTGACATTTAAAAATCACCTTTATTGGTGATTTGCCTGGAGATCAAAAGGTACACAGTTACGCTTAAAGAGCACATTACACCATTAATAAATCCAATTATTAACAGTCCTCAACAAAAGTCACATCACTGGAAGTTTACGGATCTATTGTTACAAAAACAACTTAGTAAATAATTCTGAGTTTATTTTGATGGAATGAGTTTGTCACAGTATGAATAAAGTCAGCCTAGATCATAACTTTTATAAACACTTTCAAACATGAAAATATGTAAGAACGTCTCAGGAAAAATGGCACCGTTAAAGTAAAAATGACATGAAAAGAAACGAAGATCACAGAAACGAGTCAAAACAGCAGTCCTGTCCAGCACAACCAAACAGGCCGCTTCCAATATTCCACGTCACATACAGAACAGAACGTCAGACACGCTGCGCTGCAGGAAGTGTCACGCCGCTCAGTTTCACAAGGATTTACACGATCACCGTGTAGCACTAATATGAAGAGCTCCGTGCATGTTAGAGATGAAACTGACAGCAGCGGCACAGCAGAGGTCGAATAAAGCCGATAACGAGCTTCTGCCTCAGCAGCTGGGAGTGAGCAGGCCTCCCCCTCTCATCATGGTACCAAACACAGCCCCACTAGCTGGCTGCAGGCTCTGGAGAGCTGGTGGAAGTGGACGACATGGAGGCTACTCGCTCCCTGCTGTCCACCACCCCTCTACCGGTCACTCTCCACTGAAGGATGCAGGTGTCCTTCCCCCCCATGGAGAGAAGATGGGAGTCGTTGTGGGTGAAGCGGACGTTGGTGACGTGGCTGCCATGACCCTCATACTTGTGGTTTGGTGCCTGGAGGTCAAAAGGTACACAGTTACGCTTAAAGAGCACATTACACCATTAATAAATCCAATTATTAATCATAAATCTCCACTGCTCATGGAGTGTTTCCAACAGACTGGAAATCTGTTGTTGTTGCTCCAATCTTTACCAAGAGGACAGCATACGGCACATTAGCATATTTTTTGGACTATAAGGCGCACCTAAAATCCTTTAATTTTCTCAAAAATCGACAGTGAGCCTTATAATCAGGTGCACATTATGTATTAATTCTGGTTGTGTTTACTGACCTCGAACAGATTTTATGTGGTTATTGTGAATGACTTAATAAAGTTTGACTTATCTGACTGTTTTGTTTCGCTTAATGCGCCTTATAATCTTTTGCGCTTTATAGTTCAAAAAATACGGTATACACTGTAGAAATGTCGGGACAGCTTTCGCTGTCGACAAACTACTAATTAATTATTCTTAAAGCTAGTTCAAGCACAAAGATATTAATTGTTTAATTAACAACAGATTCTTTCTTTTTCGAGTTAAATTTCTTCCATGTGACCAAGATAACTTGAGAGTGGAGTGTATAATTAGTGACTTGAGACGTCATTTTATCTTTGACCCATCAGAATAAATGCGGTCATTTATTTAACAGAATCAAAATTTAGCATCAAAACATGTACACATTGATTTGCTGATCTGTTTCTGATTAATAAACTTAGCAAGTTCAAATAACAAGACAACAGAGGATTACTGATGGAGAATAATTCATCTCTGGAGGCATCTAGCTTCATTTACTGGCAAAGAGGTTTACAAGAGGAGAGATTGAAGTTTAAAGAGGAGATTTTGATGGAGGAAGGAAAATGTGTTGACCCGGAATGGCACCCTTCCTTCGACCCCAGCTCAGCCCTCGGTACACTCAGATCGTGACGACTCTCTACCTTTGCAGAAGATAAATCAGCTCCGGTACAGAGGTCCATTTCACGCTCCCTTTTCAGCGTCTCCGGTCAGAGTGGCTGGGAATCGTCAGAAGTCGTGACGAAGTACCCCGTTCAACAGAATAAGCTTCCTTAGAAGTTGAGAGCATTTAATGCTCGGGGTGAGTTCACAGCGAGGCATGCTGTGACTCTGCTGGAATGGACGGACCCTTGGCACACGGTCAAATCCATCAGCTACTTAGTTCAGCTGTAAGACTCCAGCAAGACTGCAGTCCCAGCCAGAACTCCAAACAGACTTTCAGTAAGAACTGAAAGTTCCTGTACGACTCGCCGTAAGACTGAGTCTTCCAGTAAGACTGAGTCTTCCAGTAAGACTGAGTCTTATCCTAGACTGAAAGTTCCAGGAAGACTTCTAAGACTTAAAGTTCCAGGAAGACTGAGTAGTTCCAAGAAGTGTTGACTTTTAAAGGGTATCCACTTCCTGTCACTTGGTACTTCCTGATTGGTTGACACAACCAGCAGGGGTGGTGTTTTAGTGATGTCAGAGGGTTATTAGAAGTCAACAGACAGCAGAAATGTTTTTAAGAACGGTTAGTACAGACAGGAAAATATTTTGAAGAAGTGAGACTCGCAGGTGCCAGTTTCTTATTTACTGTCTGAGAGTTTTAAAACAAGGCACTTCGTTCTCATAACTTGTCTCTGACTTTTGACCGACATCAAATCCAATCCTCATTCAGACAGAAGAATAAAATGCACACTTACTTCGTAAATAGACATTTAACTTGTATGATCTACGTCTAATGAGGTTTAAAAATCATTAATACTGTTTCACAGTTGATTTAAATGAGTGGTTTACTTCAACATTAGAAATGGTATGAACTAAACACACTTTTGATTATCAAGATATTGTAAAATAGTAATGATAATATAAAAAAAGAAGAGTGTTCTTTCAATTGATTAATTCAGGATACAGTTAAATAGTCTCTTGATGAGATCATTTGTATTTCTAGATTCAAATCAATGAAATAACAGTTCCTGTCCCCTGAAGGTCTTCAGAGACAGATTTATGTCGGAGGTCTAGTTCACTACAACACCCCTCAACAAACTATTAAACAGCAATACAACAATCTGTGGCATGGTCCGGACAAGGAAAGACCTTGAATAACTTTTAACCTCGATTTGTGATCTTGACCTTCGAACTAAGGTGAAGAAAAGTGTATGTGACGCTCCATCTAGCGATGATGCACATGTGTATCATTAAATAATCTCGAGCAGATCAGAAGTTAGGGGTGGGTCAAAAGAAAGTTTACAGACAGACAGAGATAATACCATAATATATCCTGCATTTGACAGGCAAATAAAAATGGACACTCCTATTCTACCTCTAATTAGTGTCTAAGATTGGCAGCTAATCACATCATAGACCACTACCGTATTTTTTTAGTATAAGTCACAGTTTTTTTTGCATAATTTACATGCCCTGTGACTTATAGGTCGAAGCGACATACTTATGGATTTTTCCCCATATTTATAAACCATTTTTTGGCTGAGATATGACCGTTTTAATTCATTCTGACTGAAAAATAATTTGAGCAGTACCACTTTCAGCCACTTGATAGCAGCAGCGTTGCAACAGTTGTATGGCATGCTGTTGTATCATGTAATAGGAAAACGTGGTTACAACGACAAATTCAAAAAAGTTCAAAACAAAAACAACTGGAATTTATTTATTATACTTTATTGTTTTTTTTTTCTTGAACTTTATTGAATTTACCATGTCCTGGATGACTGAGAACCTTCACCAGCTATTAATGACTCAATCGGCTTGCCATAATCTCCCCACCTGCATTCTGCTTGCTGCTTGGACCGACCATCAATCCAGCTGCACTGCCCCAGCGAAATGCAGCTAATTTGACCATTAAAGTGCATTTATTAAGCAAATGTTAGACTGAGACACATCTTTGCTATAATTTCGAGCAAATAAATAATTGTTTAGGTGCAGTTCTTGTTAATGTTTCAAGAAAAAAGCCACGTTCCTCCTTCCTTTTCTCTTCCTCTGCTCGTTCATGGAGCACCGAGGCAGAGAACTATTTTTTAAATACAGCTGATTTGACCATTAAAGTACATTTATTAAGCAAATGTTAGACTGACACACACTTTAATATAATTTTGAGCAAACAAATAATTGTTTTAAAGTGTTAATCTTGTTAAAGTCCTCCCTTGCACGCTTCCGCGGTCGCCATTTGGTGGCCCATCGGTTTTTGGCACAACACCGGCCCACATTTTCGGGTTTGGTCCACATTTCCAGGTTGTCGGCAGTGACGTGTAACAAACGCGACGCGTCAGCGGTGACGACTAATAGATGTGACGTATATGGCAAAGTGATATATTTATGGATTTTTCCACTTTATTAGACAAATATGGACTGATGTGACTTTTATGGCAGTGCAACACGTACGGCGGAAAATACGGTAGTTCATTTTCTTTCCAGCCAGTACAGCTTGGATTTTTTTAAATAGGTACTCACCTGGAACAGCCAACTTCCCTTTTATAAACAACATCGTTAGATAGACGTGATAATGTTCGAGGTGTGTTACTTCACCTTAAAAAAGCATTCCACTGTGTTTCTCACAAAGTTCCTAAATTGTCAATAGGTGTTCCACATGGATTCATCCTCGGACCTTTACTGTTCACACTCTGTCAAAGATTTTCTTTCTGTTTGATCTAGTTGTAACATTTAAATGTACGCAGATAACATTGTCATTTATATACATAACAAAAATCTGATAGAAGTAACGAAATAACTTATTAACTCCATGGTTCATGCTACAGCAGTGCTGTTAGCAAGTTGACATGTCAAAAACAGTCTGTTTCTCCTGTCCTGATCGATACCAGAACTAAAACCAGTCAAGAAACATTAACTCGTAAAAGTAAGAAGTATAAGCTTTTTGTTGCAATAGTTGCTGTTGGTTAGTTGGTGCTGTTAGCGTAATGTTCACTGCAGCACTGTGATGTGTTGCTGTGAGTTTATTAGATATTTGGTGGGGTTGTTCTGTCAGCCTCATGTTTTCACCCTTATTTGACTTAGGATGGCAGTATTCTAACCTCCTGCCTGCCTGATTGATAGTCAATAACCAGTGTTCTCTGCTTGGCTCGTTTTCATTGACTGTAAATATTATTATTAGTATATTATTACTATTCTCCAGGGGGAACCCTCAGGGCCTGTGATGCCTTCATAGAAGGCCTAAAGTGTTACACTTAAAATTTTATGTAATATTTATTTTACATAAAAATATGGTTGAGGGAGCTTTCTCATGAGTTAGGACTTCTCTGCCTCCAGTGAAGGCTTAGTTCAGTCAAAGACTCTCTAGGACAGGGCTATTCAACAAAACTGTTCAGGGGGCCACAGTTACTGAAAGCCAGCAGCTCGGGGGCCGGACATCCAGCAATTAAAGTCATTATGTAAATAAAAACAGTGTTACAATGATCTGTCACCTTTTAAATTTGTTTATTTTGTTGCATTGAATCATAAATGCAATAAACAGAACCTGCGCGCCCCCCCCCCCCCCCCCAAAAAAAAAAAAAAAAGTTTTTTTTTTTTAAATGAAGACATTGGTGGACTGGATTGAAGTCACCTGCGGGCTGGCCGTCAGTTGAATAGCCCTGCTCTAGATGTTTGGAAACGGACCTTTATCATTGCTAGTCCTGGATGAATGTTTTTCTAATACTGTAGTCTTTTATTTGTTTTCAGTGGACTGAAAATGAATAAACGGTGTTGCTGGAGCTGCCTGTTTTATTTCACTACGGTCAAATCATCACCAAAGCTAAATTTGTTCATCTGATGGAGTCATTTCAGCGGAACATCTCTGCAAGAACAAGGTTTCATTACAAATTTTACTGACACAGTAAGTTCTGTGAGTTACTGTTAAATTTCAGTCTGAATGATCGAACGATAATCTAACAAGGTAGAGTCAGGCCCCTGGATACGATAAGTCTGAACGATAAGATTAATAACTGAATATTCAATAATTGAATGATAGTACATGTACATAAATGCACCATAAAAATTGAACGCAAAGTTTTTTGTTTATTTGGGGGTAATTTGGTGAGCTGCAGGGGCTGCTGGGTAATCTTTGGGCAGGAACGGGTGAAACTTTTCAGGTTCTGTGTTCAGATGGGTCGTCCCTGTTTGTTCTGTTTATGTTGTGTTGGTGTTAATGTTCAGGTTGTTGTTAGTGACTGTTAGAGACATGACACCATAAGTCACATGTTGGATCTGATTTATAAAAAAGGGGAAAGCAGTTTGTTTGAAGCGAGCGTCAGCTGACATAATCAAAATGCAACATTAAAGTGTCCTTGAAGTGAGTGCCACTGAGAAGTAAAGAAATGTTACCTTAAGTTTAGGACAGGGGTACTGGAAGAGATGGACCTTACAGAAGTCATCAGCCACAGCTACAAGCCTCTCACTATGTGAGCGGCACAGAGCGTTGATGTCTGTCCCATCAGAGCCTTCCAACCACACGCCTAAAGCCCACAGAACAATGAGGTTTATGGAGCACCGATGGTTAAAGACAGAAGAAATGCAGTTATCTATGCTTGGTGTTTCTCACCCATGACATGGAAACCCAACACACACGTGTAGGAGGCCCATTCTCTGTCTCTGCTTTCAAAGCGGTTCCTCAACAGCTTACATCCATCTCCAATTTCCCCTGTTGAAAAGAATCAACGATAGAAACAACATGATCACTCTGTCTGAAGGTTTAGATGCAACAACAAAAAAAAAGATGTGCCAGATTTATGAAACTAATTGTTTTGTTATGCTACTGTGAAAATCCAATCGAAACCAGGTTAGCTGGAGTAACAGTTACTAAAACCAGTATCTCACAGAGATGTGACTGTTAGAAACTCTGAGACCATGTTTTGGTGGGCACAGCTTTTAATACTATAGACCAGGGGGGTCAAACCCACTTACAAAAGAGGGACAAAATTAAAACCTTTTTCAAACTAAGGGCCAGTTTCAGAATCTACATTAACTCAAGTTAGATACCCAACATCTTTTCTTGGTTGCAGGTTCCTCAACAAGAGTTTGATTTGGCCTCATTTGATGTTCTCTGTTGTGCTTTTGACGTCATAATCAAAGATTACTGAAATAAAGTGATAAAAGTATTTTACATTTAAAATAACATCTTGGGGGCCAGATAAGATGTCAACGAGGGCCACATTTGGCCCCCGGGCCTTGAGTTTGACACATATGCTATAGATTGTAGTTGTCCACCTTGTCTATGTTTCATTCTGCTGGAGTATAGTCTAGAAATGAATATAGGCAGATTTACACCAGCAAATATTCAAACCGGATTCCAAAAAAATTGGGACACTAAACAAGTTGTGAATAAAAACTGAATGCAATGATGTGGAGATGGCAAATGTCAATATTTTATTTGTAATATAACATAGATGACAGATCAAAAGTTTAATCTGAGTAAATGTAACATTTTAAAGGAAAAATATGTTGATTCAAAATTTCACAGTGTCAACAAATCCCAAAAAAGTTGGGACAAGTAGCAATAAGTGGCTGGAACAAGGAAATTGAGCATATAACAAACAGCTGGAAGATCGATTAACACTAATTAGGTCAATTGACAACATGATTGGGTATAAAAAGAGCTTCTTAGAGTGTCAGTGTCTCTCAGAAGCCAAGATGGTAAGAGGATCACCAATTCCACCATTGTTGCGCAGAAAGATAGTGCAGCAATACCAGAATGGTGTTACCCAGCGTAAAATAGCAAAGACTTTTAAGTTATCATCATCAACCGTGCATAACATCATCAAAAGATTCAGAGAATCTGGAACAATCGCTGTGCGTAAGGGTCAAGGCCGTAAAACTCTACTGGATGCTCGTGATCTCCGGGACCTTAAACGTCACTGCACCTCAAACAGGAATGCCACTGTCAAGGAAATAACAGAATGGGCTCAGGAATACTTCCAGAAAGCATTGTCAGTGAACACAATCCGCCGTGCCATGCGCCGTTGCCAGCTGAAACTCTAATGTGCAAAGAGGAAGCCATTTCTAAGCAAGCTCCACAAGCTCAGACGTTTGCACTGGGCCAGGGGTCATTTAAAATGGAGTGTGGCAAAATGGAAGACTGTTCTGTGGTCAGATGAGTCACGATTTGAAGTTCTTTATGGAACACTGGGACACCATGTCATCCGGACCAGAGAGGACAAGGATAGCCCAAGTTGTTATCAATGCTCCGTTCAGAAGCCTCCGTTCAGAAGCCTGCATCACTGATGGTATGGGGTTGCATGAGCGCTTGTGGCATGGGCAGCTTGCATGTCTGGAAAGGCACCATTAATGCAGAGAACTATGTTCAGGTTCTAGAACAACATATGCTCCCATCTAGACGTCATCTCTTTCAGGGAAGACCCTTCATTTTTCAACACGATAATGCCAGACCACATTCTGCAGCAATCACAACATCATGGCTACGTAGGAGAAGGATCCGGGTACTGAAATGGCCAGCCTGCAGTCCAGATCTTTCACCTATAGAGAACATTTGGGGCATCATAAAGAGGAAGGTGCGACAAAGAAGGCCCAAGACGACTGAACAGTTAGAGGCCTGTATTAGACATGAATGGGAGAGCATTCCTATTTCTAAACTTGAGAAACTGGTCTCCTCTGTCCCCAGACGTCTGTTGAGTGTTGTAAGAAGAAGGGGGGATGCCACACAGTGGTAAAAATGGACTTGTCCCAACTTTTTTGGGATTTGTTGATGCCATGGAATTTGGAAACAACAGATGTTTCCCTTAAAATGATACATTCTCTCAGTTTAAACTTTTGATCTGTGATTTGTGTTCTATTCTGAATAAAATATTAGATGTTGGCACCTCCACATCATTGCATTCAGTTTTTATTCACAATTTGTTTAGTGTCCCAACTTTTTTGGAATCCGGTTTGTAAAACATAGACAAAGCCTCTATGCTGGACATGGGCAACATATGGCCCGAGGGCCATAACTACTTTGACAATCTCCATCTGGACCCCAAACATTCTTAATAATAATAATTAAAAAAAACTTGGGAAATCTAAATTTAATCTCTTCAACAAATACAGCAAAATGTTTGGATTAACAAGCTACAACTTTTTAAGTTTTAGTGTCGACTGACCAACCAACCCTCCATCCATCTATACCTATGTACCTAACCGTCCCTCCCTCCCTCCCTCCCTCCCTCCCTCCCTCCCTCACTCACTCACTCACTCACTCACTCACTCACTCACTCACTCACTCACTCACTCACTCACTCACTCACTCACTCACTCACTCACTCACTCACTCACTCACTCACTCACTCACTCACTCACTCCCCATCCATCCATCCATCCATCCATCCATCCATCCATCCATCCATCCATCCATCCATCCATCCATCCATCCATCCATCCATCCATCCATCCATCCATCTATAGTGCCTTGCAAAAGTATTTGTCCCCCTTGAACTTTTCAACCTTTTGCCACATTTCAGGCTTCAAACAGAAAAATATAAAATTTTAATTTTTTGTGAAGAATCAACAACAAGTGGGACACAATCGTGAAGTGGAATGAAATTTATTGGATGTGTCAAACTTTGTTAAATACAAAACTGAAAAGTGGGGCATGTAATATTATTCGGCCCCTTTACTTTCAGTGCAGCAAACTCACTCCAGATGTTCAGTGAGGATCTATGAATGATCCAATGTTGTCCCAAATGACTGATGATGATAAATAGAATCCACCTGTGTGTAATCAAGTCTCTGTATAAATGCACCTGCTCTGTGATAGTCTCAGGGTTCTGTTCAAAGTGCAGAGAGCATCATGAAGACCAAGGAACACACCAGGCAGGTCCGAGATACTGTTGTGGAGAAGTTTAAAGCTGGATTTGGATACAAAAAGATTTCCCAAGCTTTAAACATCCCAAGGAGCACTGTGCAAGCAATCATATTGAAATGGAAGGAGTATCAGGCCACTGCAAATCTACCAAGACCCGGCCGTCCCTCTAAACTTTCATCTCGAACAAGGAGAAGACTGATCAGAGATGCAGCCAAGAGGCCCATGATCACTCTGGATGAACTGCAGAGATCTACAGCTGAGGTGGGAGAGTCTGTCCATAGGACAACAATCAGTTGGACACTGCACAAATCTGGCCTTTATGGAAGAGTGGCAAGAAGAAAGCCATTTCTCAAAGATATCCATAAAAAGTGTTGTTTAAAGTTTGACACATGCACCTGGGAGACACACCAAGCATGTGGAAGAAGGTGCTCTGGTCAGATGAAACCAAAATCGAACTGTTTGGCCACAATGCAAAACGATATGTTTGGCGTAAAAGCAACAAAGCTCATCACCCTGAACACACCATCCCCACTGTCAAACATGGTGGTGGCAGCATCATGGTTTGGGCCTGCTTTTCATCAGCAGGGACAGGAAAGATGGTCAGAATTGATGGGAAGATGGATGGGGCCAAATACAGGACCATTCTGGAAGAAAACCTGTTTGAGTCTGCAAGAGACCTGAGACTGGGACGGAGATTTATCTTCCAACAAGACAATGATCATGAAAAATTATGTGAAACAACTACAAGCAACACTTTATTTAAATAGTCCAAGCTGCTGTTGGTAACAGTTCATGATGTGCTCTCTCTGCATGAACTCTGAAAATGTTGTTATTAATTTTAGGTATAGATTAGACACTGATCCCTGCAACTAGCTGCAGCTAGCAGAGTCTACATGAACACAGCTTACATGTTAAAACAGTTACACATTTATCAACTAGTTGAAGTCAGAATGATTGAAGCAGCGAAAAGTCTTGAAATCACTGGAAGTCATTAATCACTGACTGACTTCAGGTCGTGTTTAGATCATCTTTATTTAGAGCCAATAGATTTTCCTTCTGTATCATCTAGCTGTTTTACTGATGGTTGTATAAATTAATATTAATTATGAATTATATGAAATTATAATTATATTATTTATGACACTGATCCAGTTGGACTTTCTCTTAATCAAACAGTTGTTTTGTCGACTCTATGATGCCACAAATGTAAACGATGGCCGAAAAGGACAGAGCGCCCTCTAGTGGGACTATTTAACTCTATAGAACTGTGGCATCAAATGTTTGTAACAAATGTAAATGCATTTTTTTGGAGCCATAACATTACTAATGTATTGCAAAAAAAAAAAAAAAAAATCACGCTGCTAAGATTAACAGATGTTGAGATATTGTCATGATCAGTAACAGGAAGTGATGTCAGAGGGGAAAGCCTGCATGTAAACAGAACATTGCTCCAATGGCTAACAGCCCAGACAGTAGAGAGACCAAGAGTCAAAGTTCAAATAAAAATGTTCCAGTCAAAACAGAGCAGGGAGTTCCCTTTTGATGTCACTTCCTGTTTCACTTCAGCTGCACAAAGTTTAAATATGCCAGTTATGGGACATAATGGGTAAAATCATGTGCATTGTGGCAAATTTTCTAAAAACATTAAGATGTTTTCTTTAATTTGTATTTGTGCACGTTAATGTTTTGTTTCTGGTTCTGTTTCCAGGGATGGCCACCCCTAAAATATTGGAACACCCCCACCCCATCCCAGTGGTTCCCCTTGGCCTGACAGTTTGAGTCCCAAGTTTCTGCTGGGTGTACATTTTAATTTCCACTGAGTATTTAAAATTAATAGAACCTCAAACATAAAACAAACCTTGTTTTGATCAATTAGGAGCTAAAAATATATATATTTATTTTATTAAATCAAAGCAGAAATTTAAAACCTTGTTCCCTGAAAAAGAACAAGTCTAAAACCAATGTCCTCTTCATCAGGAAGCAGGGTCTGAAGAGGCTAAATGCATATTTATGATAAAAAAATAAATAAATAAATAAATAAATAAAATAAATAAATAAATAAATAAATAAATAAATATATATATATATATATATTTATGAGAAGACAAGCTTTAATAAGTCAACTAGTGACCATACGTTTCTCAATAAGGAACATAAACTGTAAGTTAAAAAATCCAATAAAGTATAATTATGCAGATTATCAGAAGGTGATGTCCTGACTACTGTATTGCTGTAATTGTTGAATACCCTAAATATGACAATAACATAAATCTCTGTGAATTTCAGGCTTTTGTTAATCTAGTTTTCTTCACTCTGGTGTAACTTGAGCCTTTTCTCCGTTCTCCATTCTCAATGACTGAAGGTAACAACTAATAGACAGAACATCACATCAAAGAAAAGTGAACTTGGATCAACATTATTTATTAATATTTTGGTGCAGTTTGTTCATTTCTGGATGTTTACTCACAGTAAAGGATTTCATAGTCTCCTGAGTTGGACATGATGTACCTCCCATTTTTGGACCAGTCTAGATGAGTTATGAAGCTGGAGTGGCCCTGATTGCACAGATCAAAACAAACTAAATTAGACAACCATTCAGCATTTTATACCCCCCCCCCCCCCCCCTTTCAATTTAATGCTCTGTTTTCAACTCAAACCCAGCCTGTCTCACTCTCTACCAGGAGTAAACTTTGGAGATGAATATGAGCAGACTTTATGATCTGCTGCCATAAAAAGTGCGTGTTTATGTAACTACCTTTTGTCCTGTGGTATGTTCTTTTGTCTGTCTGTTAGCAGAATATCTGAAGAACCACAGAGCAGATATTGTTGAAGCTCTCAGAATTGAATGTACATCTACAATTTATTATTCTTGGAACAACCCAGTCTAAGACGGCGGCCATTTTTGTCTGCTATCTCACCGAACGTTGTGCTCAAGGTTTGACCTACACAGATACAGCTCGGCCAGTGAGAGGCACGCCGTCAAGGAATGCTAGACATTTTGTTATTATTATTATAACGTTAACATGATCATTAATATCATCATTATCACTACCCTTATTATTATTTTCATCATAATCATTAATATTATTATCATTATTATTTATTATTAATAATAATAATTATTATTATTACTATTATTATTACCATCAATATCACTACCATTATTATTATTTTCATCATACCTCTCATCATCATCATCAACATTATTATTATTGGCACAATAATCATTATTATCATTATTGCCATAATAATTATCATTATTATTATTGTTGTTATTATCATAATCATCATCAACATCACTGCCATTATTATTTTCATCATCATCATCATCAATATAATTACTATCATCATCATTATTATTAAATGGACTTGCGACCTGTCCAGGGTGTACCCCGCCTCTCGCACAGTGATTGTTGGACATGGGCACCGGCGACCCCCGTGACCCAAAATGGAAGAAGCGGGTAAAGATAATGGATGGATGGATGGATTATTATTATTATTGTTTTTATTATTATTGTTTTTATTATTATTATTATCTGTATGTTTAGGCCTGGTCATTGGGGGCTGTATCTCCAGATGTTACTTTAATAACTCTGGATTTCACGTAAAAGCACGTATTGTTTTTATGCTATTAGTGCTTAGTGTATATTTAGTTGATGTTTTTCTTAGTTCATATCTTAGATGTTGGCAGCACGGTGGTGCAACTGGTAGAGCTGCTGCCTCTCAGCGAGCAGGTCCCTGGTTCAAACCCCGGTCCAGGGGCCTTTCTGGGTGGAGTTTGCATGTTCTCTCCGTGCATGCGTGGGTTTTCTCCGGGTGCTCCAGTTTCCTCCCACAGACCAAAAACATGCATGTTAGACTGATTGGTAACTCTAAATTGTCCCTAGGTGAGAAAGAGTAAGTGAATTGTTGTTTGTCTCGTTTGTCTCTATGTGGCCCTGTGATGGACTTGCGACCTGTCCAGGGTGTACCCCGCCCCTCGCACAGTGATTGCTGGACATGGGCACCAGCGACCCCCGTGACCCAAAATGGAATAAGCGGGTAAAGATAATGGATGGATGGATATCTTAGATGTTATCATTGTTTTTCTTTTACATTTTATTGTTGGATGTAACTGGGACCCTGTGTACATAATGTCGTCCCACCACATGTACCACATGAGGTGTTATTAATGATGGTGTGTATAATATTAGGCTTTAATATTCAAGAAATACTTGTCAAAAAGACACATGTAGTGATTTTTTTTATAGAAACAGAAAAATACACGACCAGTCTTATATTCAAGCTTAGTGACATTCTTTTCTTTATTCAACAGGAACAGAAACAAAATTATAAAAGAAATGTTTGAAGCGTAGACAAATGAGCAATTTAACTCACATTACACCTTCCGAATCGGCTGTAGCGACGACCACTCTCCGTCACGCTGTAGATGTAGATGAAGTTGTCGTGAGAGCCAACAGCCAAAAAGCTTCCATCTGAACACACAAGCAGCCGTTCAGAACAATAAAGCCTGTTTGTTGCATGAATCTCATCTACGGTCAGCTACAAAAAATGTGCAAAAAGTGTTTTGGATGAGCCAGATATCTTTGACTCAACTGTAAATAAAGTTAAGGGAAGAATACGCGAAGGTCTTAGGCATCAGGACAAAATAAAAATGAGCTTGTCTTTACCAGATTGGAAACTGTTTAAATCTTTCCTCAGGTGCTTAAAGACACAGCAGACTCCATAAATGAAGACAAAATGTTGAAACTGTTAAGGTTCACAGTTTTCAACAGTGGGGGGGGCACGGCTCCGCTAACCTGCTAGCAGAAGAACTAACTTTACGTTTAGCTGATTAGCGTTTTCACTAACTTTCAAAACATTTAACTGATTTAGCTTTGGCTAAGTTTAAAACTGGTAAATTCAAATCCTCTATTTTTTTTAAAAAAGACAGTTCTCCAGACTAAAATTACACAAGAAAATCTAACAAAGTTAAGTCAGGACATCTGGACTGATAAAAAAATAAATGAATGAATAAAATTTAAAACTTGTAGAAACGTTTTATCTTTTATCCGAAAGACTTCTTCATTCTGAAGAGCTGCAACAAACCCAGTCTTATAAATAGCACCTTCTCATAGTGAATCAACCAGTTTGATAGAGACAGCCAGAACTAGCTGCTCACATGCTCAAGAAGGACCATCAGCCTAACAATGGATCATTAGCACACTGATGGCTGTTTACTGTTCACAGAGGGCTGAGTGATACTAGCAATCACAGCATTGTAAGAGGGGGACAGTTGAACACGGAGGCCTCCACCCCTGTTTAATGATGGACGATTTCTTTTCACAAAGATGGCCTCCTTTACTCCTCCCTCAAACCATCGTTCCTCTCTGTCCAGGATGTGAACATCTTCATCTTCCAGGGATGAAGATGTTAGATTTTGTTAGATTTTTCTACCTACATTACTGAGCATACATCAGGGCATCCAGAAGAATGGTGATTTACACAGAGGTATGCTGGGCAATGCTAAGCACCACCCAATGATGTCACTTCCTTTTCAGTGCTCCCTCCCCCTCCCCCCATATCTACCACAAGCAGTCTCTGACTTATGGTGTCAGTTCACAGCCAATAACGGAGACTTTAATACAATTAAACCAAACCAGAACAGGAACATATGAAAAACCCATTTTCACACTCAGAAGCATCATAAACAGTCAAAAATATTGAACACGTAGTTCTTACCCAGCATGCTTTGCAACACTCCCACTGTCTCTGGGATGTGACTCTCTCAGACATTCACACATCTTTACTTTTACACAGATTTACTGAGAGAATATTGATGATGATTCACAGAAACTTTTGTAGTTAAAGTAGTTAAACACAACTGTCCACATTAAAACGCTAAATACTATATTTGTCATATAAAATAATGCATTCCTCTCAGTGATGTGCTTTTTTATTTGTTTTTACATCCATCTCTTTTACATTTTTATTTTAGCTCACTATGTGGTGCTTTTGGAGCCCTTAAGATTTCTCGTAGACAAAAGGACTGACCTGGAGAGTATCTCATGACGGACAGCTGCTCGTTCCCATCAATGGATTCAGAGACCACCTTCCTGGTCAGCAGGTCTAGGACCACCCACCTGTTGAGGTGATGTACAGATCAACAAGCAGGCTCTCCTCTGAGCCACGTGCGTGCTTCCACTCAGTTTCATGTATGTTACATGTGAACTGTGGGAGAAGTTCTGCAGATTTTTAGTTTGGACTGGGATACGGTGTCTGTGCTGTACTCACCTTCCTGTGCTGAGCCCGACTGAAACGACTGAGCCATTGGGGCAGAAATCAGCACACAGACCATATTCCTGTAAAAGATGCCAACACATTTAGTCACATTGAAATGCTTTCGTTTGTGAATGAATACATCTTTTTTATCAATGAAAACAACATCTCCATCAAATAAAGACATTTTTTAGAATGCAACATAAAGATGAATGTCTTTGTTGTCCTCTTTATTACAAATATTCCTTTGCATTACCTTTGTTGACAAATCTCAATAGTATACATGAGCACTTAGTGAATAATTTAAAATCAAATGTCTTAAATTAGTTTGACTTTATCCTGATGCATGCTCATTGACTTTATGCTGCTACTTTCTATACCACGTGTCAAACTCAAGGCCCGGGGGCCAAATGTGACCCTCGTTGAGGTCTTATCTGGCCCCCACGATGATACGTTAAATGTAAAATACTTTTTTCACTGAATTTTTTTCAGTAATTTTTGATTATGATGTCGAAAATGCAACAGAGAACATCAAATGAGACCAATCAAACTCTTGTTGAGGAACCTGCAAACAAGAAAATATGTTGGCTATCGTGACTCTAGTTAATGTAGATTCCGAAACTGGCCCTTAGTGAGAAAAAGGGTTTAATTTTGGCCCCCTTTGTAAGTGAGTTTGACACCCCTGTGCTATACCTTCCAAATAGATACAAAATTAAAATCTTACAGAAAAGTAACAGGTTTTAATTTGACTTTCCCTCCAAAGTTGTAAATTAGAGAGTGAGCATAAAGTCCCACCTCCAGCGTGATACACCAGTCCAGCTTGTGTTCCTCGGCGTTCCACAAACACACCTGCCGGTCGTGACCACAGCTCAGGAAAATGTTCTGTGAGGGGTGGGCGGCTAAACCCCACATCTCGTCGACGTGACCCTGAGTCAAACAGGATGCACACACACACGCACGCACGCACGCACGCACGCACGCACGCACGCACGCACGCACGCACACACACACACACACACACACACACACACAGCCACTGGTGTCAGAAGTATTTGTAATGTGTGTGTGTGTGTGGGGGAGGAACTGGGGGTGGGGGTCCTCCACCAGAAAATTTAATAAAGTAGATACCATTTCCTGCCTTCTGGTGTATTTTAACTGGTTGTTAAACATCTATGTTTACCTCATTAAGTAAACACTTGATTCAATAACTATTTTAGAGAGCAACAAGAAGAAGCCTGACCAACAGTTCTCCTTGTGTAAATAGAGCATGCTCCGCTTCTCTTACGCATCCTAACCCCCACATCCCAGTTGACAACACTGCGGTAAAGCCTTCTCCGGATTCAGAAACCTTACTGTCGCTCAAATCCAGAGTACTCGATTACAACAACCTTTACAGCTGGTCTGCATTTGCACCATTGAGTACGACATTGTTTAAAGGAGAATAACGTACAAAAAAGCAACATTTCACCTAGATTTTCTTACTTTGATTTCACACATTTAAAGCCTGTTTCTCACCAAGTTTGTGTAAATTTAGCTGTGGGTTTTAAAAAGATTTCAACTTTAATACACTTTAACACACAGTGTCAGGTTGGCACTACTTGTGTTTATAGACAAATAAAAAATTCCAGGTCTCTCTTGTAAATGAGTCCCCGAGGCTCAATGGAATTAGCCTGTATACATAAAGGTTGAATGAAAAACCCCCAAAAAAACAACATTGCTGTTAGACCTGTCACAATAAACAATAAATCAATTAATCGCATGATAAATGAAAATTATCTACCTCATTTTCATTTATCAGCTTTATCGTTTCTTCGTGTCTCTCTCTTTCTACTGAAGACACTGGATGACAAAAGGCTCAACTCTGGTGCTCTTCACTGACCCCTCCCTTTCTTTTGTCCTCTTTAAAATCTGTTTTAACCATCCAAAATTGCATTTTTGGATCATTAAAAGCAGCTAAGCTGAGAAGCTAAGCTACGAGCTAAGCTAAGCTAACCGACCTCGGGGGAAAAAACCTCCATCTTGTCAAAGCTCCAAACTTCACGATTGACACACATGCCTTCATGTAAAAAGTTGTTTTTCTCTGCAAAAATAATAATAAAATAATAAATAAGCTGAGAACTTGTTTACTGATTTTTTTTAAAGCTTTGTGTGAAAAATGCTATGCTAAAGAGCTCAAACCACAACGAGCGTCCGCCATTTTGAGAACCGAATAATAGGACGTAAAAACAGCCCATGTCACATCAAGGGTTCTCCCTCCCATTTTTCTTAAAGAGACAGGCTGCTTGCTCCCTCACTATCCATCCTTTGGTTCAAACAGTCTTATACTGCCATCCAGTGGTCAAAAAAGATACACACAAAAATTTACCAACATTTCTTCTTAAATTTGACAATTACTAATTATTGTCAAATTTCAAACAATATTATCGTTTATCGCAATAATTTCTGAGACAATTAATCGCCCAGCAAAATTTGTTATCATGACAGGCCTAATTGCCATTCGACTTTTTTTACTTGTGTTCAACACTACTCATCTAAAGGATGTTTCTCATCAAGTTTCAGGACAGTAAGTTGTGAAGGTTTAAAGAAATTTCAACTAATGTACATCCGCACTACATGTGTTTAACATGACATAAATAATGAAAACAACATTATCATTAGATGTAAAAGGGTTGAGACAGGTCCTCTGAAATGAACTGTCCAACGCTAAACAGAGAAACATCCAAATTATATGTGAGGGGACGTCCCGTCACATAAAATTGTTGCGACGCCTATGCACAGAGCCCAATCACGTTGTTATCAGTAGGACAGCTGATCAATCAGTGCAGTCTTGACCTTTTAGGAGGGAAATGTTGACGTGATGGAAACTTAAATCTTGTTTATCAGATAAAGCAGACAAGTGGCAGAGCGGCTAAGAGCCATGTAAGAAACAAACTGGGACAATTGGATATTAAAGCGTTTTAATGGACTCTGTGTTGTTCTTTAGAATTTAATGGCCGGACAGACAACACGTTGAACATTCTTAGGAGTTTCATCATTGTGCAAATAAACAAAGCAAACAAAAACAGTGTTATCAAGATTATGACATACATACCTGCACTATGGCAACAAACCCATCTGAAAACGTCCCTCTCAGAATAGCATTTCGGGTTGTTCCAACCAACATCTCGTCCTCATCCACAACTGCAATGGTGCGGACGGCCCCAAACTTCTCTGGGATCTAGAGAAACGGTCCCATTAGCCCCGTCATTCCCAGTAGTTCCCTCCCAAGTGAACGTTACGCCACGCAGCCTGTGACAGGCGGATCACAGACACATACAATCGTGGTTCACCTCACACTCCGTCTCAGGAGCCAGGTCAGCGCTCCAGCGAATGACCTTGCGGTCCTTCCCCCCACCACTGAGCAGAGCGCCGCCCTGCAGGGTGCACAGTGTAAACACGCTGCCATCATGTGCTCTGGTCTGTCGCATGATCTGGTAGGTCTCTGTCGTAAAGACAAATTGAGAAATTTTCTAAGTATGAACAAGAAACAAAACTATATATAATATTTTTATGGCTGCCACTGAAAACCACCAGATCCATTTTATTAACATTGTAGGGAATGAATCATCAGATGTACATCTACATCTGAATAACCTTTGAAGCCAAACTAATTCAAGATGGCTGCCAGGGCCAACTGACAATAGAAGAAAATAGCTTCATTCAATCAATTTTATTTTTATTGATTGTAACAGAGTCATTTGCATCAAACTTTAACACATTCAATTTTACTAATACTGAGCTAAAAATGTGTGTGGTAGTGGCTGAGAGTCATTGATTGTGAGAATGCACACAAAGTTGTTTTCAAGGTTTGACCAAAACGGTAAGAACTCTGTAATTTGTCACCATAAGATGGCTTTAGTCTGAAACTCATTGAGGAATGCCTTCCAGGAATTATGTAGACTACCACTAATCCAAATCAGGACATCTTTATGTACATAACAATTAAAGCCCGACTGATATATCGGTAAAGCCGATAATTTAAGCCGATATAGATGTTTGAGAGGCAGCACGGTGGTGCAACTGGTAGAGCTGCTGCCTCTAAGCGAGCAGGTCCTTGGTTCAAACCCCGGTCCAGGGGCCTTTCTGGGTGGAGTTTGCATGTTCTCTCCGTGCATGCGTGGGTTTTCTCTGGGTGCTCCGGTTTCCTCCCACAGACCAAAAACATGCATGTTAGGTTGATTGGTAACTCTAAATTGTCCCTAGGTGTGAGTGAGAGAGTGAATTGTTGTTTGTCTCGTTTGTCTCTATGTGGCCCTGTGATGGACTTGCGACCTGTCCAGGGTGTACCCCGCCCCTCGCACAGTGATTGCCGGACATGGGCACCGGCGACCCCCGTGACCCAAAATGGAATAAACGGGTAAAGATAATGGATGGATGGATGGATAGATGTTTGGGGCCATACATTATCATATTGGTGATAATGGTCCCATTATGTGCCGATGGAAACACTTCTAATTTTAACATCTAAAATGCTGAAAACAGCTGTAATTGCACAATGTATCCAGCAGAGGGTGCATGAAGACTACTTTCAAGTCATGGCCGTTCACTTAAGTTTCATTTTCAGCACAAAGGAAACAGGGAGCAACACTGTGTACCATATTTTGCTGACAGAGAATGGTAAGTTTATTTTAACTGATCTGGAAAATATATATATGAAAAAAAATCAACAATAAATTATCTTCAATCCTCCAACCCTGTCTTTAACTACGTGCCCTTCAAGTTAGCAAGCTAATGTTTAGATAACCTAGCATAGGCTATTACCTTTTAAAACTTTATGCAGAACAATAAAGTTAACGTGGCAGGAAATAAATATCATGTTAGTAACTGATAGTCACTTCACCACTTGCTCTTGTCAAGGGCGGATACTTTTCCTCTCCTCTCCCTCCTCCGCTTTGTTTTTGCTCTGTCCTGTCTGTGAAACTGCTTCAGAGCCTCTCTCTACGCATCGTCTGAACCATAACTTTTGCTATGGATCTGGTGAGCTGGTCTCTCAACACAATTGATCAAATTTTCTCGACGAGAAGACAAGTTTCAGGCGAGCCGACTTGCCCTGATGACACGCAAGCAGATGGATATGTATTGATTCCTAGAGCGCTTGGAAGGTGATGTGTCTTTCTCTGCTGTCCATCGAGGATGTTGAAGACGCATATATAATTGGATTTATGATAACAGGTTTCCTGCTTTTTGGAATCGTCTGGTTCCTGGTTCATCAACAAACAAGGAAGTTGTCAGCAGCAAATCTGGCCCTGGTCACACTACCTGCCTTATGTGATGGTTTGCTCTGTACCTCGAGCACCCAGACTCAATTGCTTTGCAAACTGAACACTGGCAGCATGGATCAGATCTCGGGGATTACTCTCGGGCATGGACCAGTGGTGTGTCCACTTAATTTGGGCATTTGGGATTCGTGAGGACCAGCAAAGACTCAAGGCAGACATGAATCAGTAAAGTTCTGCCTGTTCCCAAATCAAATGCTGTTTATCACTCACTTGTAAATGAGTCTTCGAGGCTCACTGTGAGTTATCTGTGTAAATAAAGGTTGAATGAATTAATGAAAAAATAACGTTATCTTTGTCGTCTTCTGTCAAATGCATTGTTTGTCTGAAATCTTTACTTTTCTGCAAAAAAAATCTCTGCTGCAGTGAATACTAATTAGACCTCCATACATGTGGGGAGTGGTGGCGCAGAGGTTAGAGAGGTGGGCTTGTGATCCGAAGATCGCCGGTTCACGCCCCGGCCCCGATAACATCAAAATTGTGGGTGGGGTAGGTGAAACACTCATACTTGCCCCCACCCTCATTCGCCCCACTCTGGGCCCATGAGCAAGGCCCTTAACCCCCACCATGTGCTCCCTAAACAGGTCTCTCTTGAAAATGAGTTCTCGTGGCTCAATGAGACTAACCTGGATAAATAAAGGCTAAATGAAAAAAAAAAAAAAAAAAAAATACATGACAGACTGTTCAAACAATGAATAGTGAAGGGTGTTTCTTTGTTTAATTTAATTTATATTTTTGTAACACACTTGATAACTTTATGGTGAATAGTAGAGGACAGAAAATGTGAACGCATGTTAGGAAGACAGTTTTTAAGACCAGTGCACCACTTGTAAACCTTCTGTGGGTCTAGGATGTGGATCTGATTAGCTTAGCTTCATGGTTGCTAACAGCTGCGTTAAATAAATAAGTTCCGCTCCAGTTGCTGTTTACTTAGATTCTTGGGGGCGGACAAAGCAAAAAAAAAATTCAGCCATTATATTGGTTTTCGACAATTGCCTTCCCCTCCCAATATCAGTATCGGCGATAGTGAAAATTTCCATATCGATCGGGCTCTAATAAAAACAAGTCTTCACACTTCAGTGAGCTTATTTCAAAGACGCTCCACTGGTCTGCTGCGCTCACCTTTGGCTCCTTTCCCCAGTGTTTTGACATCTGCGGCAGACTTTCCCCACGTCAGGATGTTTCCCTCAGAGTCCCCAGTCAGAACATCTCCAGTGAGGCTGAACACAAAGCACTGGACGAACTTGGGCTTCTTGTATTTCTGCAAATAAAGAAGCAGCGGTGTGATCAACTACTTGTCAAAGTTTTAAATGTCAGTCTTTTATCTTGCAAATTACTGCCATCCATCCATTCATTCAGTTGCATTACGCAAGTTTTTATTGGCAGACATACTATAAGATAAGATAAGATAAGATAGAACTTTATTGATCCCTTTGCTAACATCTGTGCCACCACTCCCGTTTTTTGCAAAAAGTATAATACCCATTATTAGATTAGAACTGTTTTAGGACAGCTGTGATTTGTTTTTGTCTGCCAGTCTCCTGTAGGATGTCAACTGAGGTGGTAAAAAACGCTGCCTGCAACAGGTAAGATGTTAATTCCATTCAAAGGCACATAACTAACATAAACTACACAGGTTGTGTGACAGGTTATTGCACAGGTAGTGAGTAACATTGAGATGAATTATGATGGTAAGGTAGTGACATACATAATACAGCCACATAGTGCAGCAGCAATAAACATATAAGTTGTCACAAATGTGGCTTGGTACAATGTTATTGCCAATAGTTCACTATTACTATCAAGAGTTCATTGATCTGACAGCTTGTGGGTAATAATTGTCCTTTAGTCTTTTCGTGCATGATGGCAGACTCCTGTATCGTCTGCCTGAGGGTAGTAGACGGAAGAGTCCTTGTGCTGGGTGGGTGTGGTCCTTAATGATGCTGTGTGCTTTACGCAGACATCAGCTGTGGTAGATGTCCTGGATGGTGTGGAGACTGCTCCCAGTGATGTTCTCTGCTGTTTGCACCACCCTCTGTAGTGCTTTCTGACTCTGACTGGTACAGTTCATGTACCATCCTGTGATGCAGCCTGTCAGCAGGCTCTCAATAGTGCACCTATAAAAGTCAGTGAGGATGCTGGTGTTTGTACCAAACTTCTTTAGTCTTTTTAGGAAGTAGAGTCTTTGTTGGGCTTTCTTGACCACAGTGTCAGTATGTAAAGTCCAGGACAAATCCTCAGTAATGAGAACTTGTAGACAGGTGCAGAAATCTCAGTGAGCGTTACCAAACTCACGTTTACAGTGACTGCCTCAATTCAACTCAATTCAAAAATACTTTATTAATCCCAGAGGGAAATTATTTGTTGCGGTAACTCATCATCCTGGTTTCATTAATGAGTAGTTATAGATGCTGATGGCTGTGGGCAGGTAGGATCTCTTGTAGCGGTCTGTCCTACAACGGATTTGAAGAAGCCTCTGACTGAAATAGGGTTGGACCTGTTCCTGATTCTCCTGAAATCTACAATCATCTCCTTTGTTTTATTCACATTCAAGATGAGATGATTGTTTCCACACCATGCCACAAAGCGGTCCACCAGTTCCCTGTACTCAACTTCTTGTCCATCTCTGATACACCTGACCACTGCAGAGTCATCTGAATATTTCTGCAGATGACAGGAGTCTGTTTTGTACTGGAAATCTGAGGTGTACAGAGTGAAAAGAAATGGTGAGAGTACAGTCCCCTGTTTTGCTCCTGAGCTACTGACCACCTGGTTAGACACACAACCCTTCAGTCTCACAAACTGTGGTCTGTCTGTCAGGTAATCTTTGATCCAGGTGATTGTTGAGGCCTCCACCTAAGTCTTCTGAAGTTTCTGACAAAACAAATCAGGCTGGATTGTGTTAAATGCACTGGAGAAATAAAAGAACATGACTCTCACAGTGCTGTCTGCCTTTTCTAGATGACAGTGAGTTTGCTGAAGCAGGTGTATGATGGCATCTTCAACTCCAAGTCCACGCTGATAAGCAAACTGCAGTGGGTCCTGATATGTGCTTGTTTGTCTAGTCAGGTGGGTCAGCAGAAGTCTCTCTAGGACCTTCATGATGTGGGATGTCAGGGCAACAGGTCTATAGTCATTGAGGACTGATAGGTGAGTTTTCTTTGGCACTGGAACAAGGCAGGATGTTTTCCACAACACTAGAACCTTCTCCTGTGTCAGGCTAAGGTTGAAGAGGTGCTGCAGAACACCACAGAGCTGCTCTGCACAGACCTTCAGGACTCTGGGACTGACACCATCTGGACCTGCAGCCTTATTCCGGTTCAGTCTCTCCAGCTACTTCTTCACCTGACTTCTGAAGACGCAGAGGGGGGAGGCAAAGGAGGTATCAGCATCTTCTGATTTGGTTGAAGACCAATATGTAGAAGAAGGGTCCATGACTGAGGTGGTAGATACAATATTTGAGGTGTGACAGGACAGCCTTGGGTCAATGGAGGGTGGTATGTATGTTTGGCTGTGAGCAAGAGAGGAGGATGATGAGCTTGTTCCTGAACTGAACCTATTGAAGAACGTGTTCAGTTCATTGGCTCTGTCCAGGCTTCTATCCTTCTGATCCTCCTTCTGCTTGAAGCCTGTGATCTTTTTCATCCCTGACCACACCTCTCTGATATTGTTCTGTTGGAGCTTGCTCTCCAGCTTCTTCTTGTACACCTCCTTGCTGTTTCTTATCTTGACTTTTAGTTGCTTCTGTGTGCTCCTCAATAATTCCCCGTCTCCCTCCCTGAAGGCCCTTTTTTTCTGGTTTAGCAGTTCCTTCAGGTCAGTGGTAATCCAGGGTTTGTTATTGGGGAAGCATCTCACTGTTCTGGTGGGGATGGTGTTGTTTACACAGAAGTTTATATAGTCAGTCACACACTCAGTCATGGCATTGATGTCCTCTCCATGTGGCTGGCACAGTGCATCCCAGTCTGTAGCCTCAAAACAACCCCGCAGGGCTTCTTCAGCTTCCGTTGACCATTTTCTCACTGTTCTCTTTATTGCAGGTTGCCTCTGAACAAGGGGTTTATATTTTGAGCAGAGAAACACAAGATTGTGATCTGATTTGCCAAGAGGGGGTCTTGCTTTAGTGATGTATGAATCCTTGACATTTGCATAAAACAAGTCCAGCGTTTTGTTTTCTCTGGTAGAGCAGCTGACAAACTGTTGGAATGTCGGAAGTGTAGCAGAGAGAGAGGCATGATTAAAATCCCCTGATATTGCAACAAACGCACTAGGGTGTTGTGTCTGTACCTTAGCAACCTCGGAGCTGATGACATCACACGCAGTCTCGGCAACAGCATTAGGTTGAATGTAAACAGTTGCCAAAATAACACTGGTGAACTCTCTTGGCAAATAATATGGATGACAACTTAGGGCTAACAGTTCAATATCTGGACTGCAGAGACGACACTTCACAGTAACATGTCCAGGATTACACCATCTGTTTGTTCACAAGCACTGCCAACCCACCTCCTTTCCTTTTGCCACTCCTCTTTAAATCTTTATCTGCTCATATGGTCAGAAAGCCTGGCAATGAAACGCTGGAGTTGGGGATATGATCCTGCAGCCATGTCTCAGTGAAACACATAACACTGCATTTCCGATACTCTGGATGGGTCCTTGTTAGGGCTTGAAGTTCATCCAACTTGTTTCTCAGCAATCTCCCATTGCCCATCATGATTGATGGAAGAAATGGGTTAAACTTCATTCTTCTCTCTTTCTCCCTCTTCTTTGCTCCTGCTCTGCATCCACGACGCCTCCTTTTCAACTCATTTGGGATTTGAGGCTGTAGTTGAGATATTATTTGAGCTTTGGAGATGTTAATCAGCTGCTCCCGGTTGTAAAAAACAACCTTGTTGTTATGGTTACGCATCATAACAAATGTCCAAAAGCAAAGATATTGCTGTAAAAATCCTTCCAGCTGCACAGCATCCGACACCAGAGGAAATAATCATCCAAAAAAGCTATTTATATCCAGAAAAAAGAGGAATTAAAGTTTCCAAAAGTAATATCTCAGAATGAAAGTAACAGAGCTACACCAACATGCAGTCACCTTGAGCGGCGCAATTCTAGAACAAAAGGTTGAGCAAGACTATTTGAAGTTAAGGTGTTTGTCAAGTTCAGTTTCATTAATATTTATTTTTTTTATAATTCAAAAGAAACAACTGGTTTTCATTAGTTACTTTTAGGTTGTTATTTTTTTCATTAATTTTGTCAGTTTCAATGTATTTAGTGACCATTGTGGGTTTTTCAACAAAAGGGTACAAACTCATTTGTCTGTGACTAGTCAGATATATCTTACTCCAAAGATGCCTTGCTTCTTGGTGAACTGTCCCGCGCTGAGCGTCCAGAAGTAGACATGAGATTTACCGCAGGTGATGATGTTGTTGCTGTCACTCAGGTTAAAGTCCACAGCAAACACAGCCTCGTTGGTACTCTGTACACACAACAGTATTTATCACACAAAATGATCCAGGGTCATCAACTTAACAGTGAAAATTCTGCATCTGGAAGAAATCACAAAAAACTGTGACAGGTCTGGTGGTTTGCTTCTTAGCCCACTACATTGTGCACAAATAAAACTAGCTAGAAAATTAAGGACTAATTTTAAAAGAATGTTAAAGCAGCTACTGCCTGAAAATCCAACATACTCAGCAACAACCGATGTCCCCCGTCGCTGAGGGATTTGAACAATGAATGTTTGTAGTTTTCAAGATGAGTGTTTTTCTGGACTGGAATTGAACAGGATTGTAAGTAAACCTAAATGTTTCTGGTGCAAGATATTTAAGTGGGTAGGAGTTACACTGTGGAGAAGAACAGAGGCAGCACACTGTTGGACCCTGGACATTTTATCCACCACCAGGTGCAGTGGAGGAGCCGGGGCCTTGGCCACCATAAACTAATCTTCGGCCACCACAATCAGTTGAAGAAACTTTACTTTTAATTAATAAAAAAAAAAACTAGAAAGAATAGTTTCCTCAAATGGTAGGGGTAGTCAGTTTACATAGATATATGGTGGCGGCTATCTTAGAATTTGCCGTGGCAACCCAATTTTCCAAGGAAACTTTTAACATCTAGATGCAGCCACACACCAGAATTAGAAGTCGGTACCTCACTTATTTTTCAAGTTATCAATGTCACAATCTGCATGGACAGAGAGAGGCTATTTACCATTCACAAAAAAGTTAAACTGTGATTGTCCATCCATCCATCCATCCATCCATTTTCTTCCGCTTATCCAGGGTCGGGTTGCGGGGGTAGCAGCTTAAGTAGGGAGGCCCAGACTTCCCTCTCCCCAGCCACTTGGGCCAGCTCCTCCGGGGGAATCCCCAGGTGTTCCCAGGCCAGCCGAGAAACATAATCCCTCCAGTGTGTCCTGGGTCTTCTTCTGGGTCTCCTCCCGGTGGGACGTGTCCGGAAAAACCTCACCAGGGAGGCGTCCAGGAGGCATCCTAACCAGATGCCCGAGCCACCTCAACTGGCTCCTCTCGACGTGGAGAAGCAGCGGCTCTACTCTGAGTCCCTCCCAGATGATCGAGCTTCTCACCCTATCTCTAAGGGAGAGCCCAGACACCCTGCGGAAAAAACTCATTTCGGCCGCTTGTATCCGAGATCTTGTTCTTTCGGTCACAACCCAAAGCTCATGACCATAGATGAGAGTGGGAACGTAGATTGATCGGTAAATTGAGAGCTTCGCCTTTTGACTCAGCTCTCTCTTCACCACGACAGACCTGTACAGCGTCCACTTCACTGCAGACACTGCACCTATCCGCCTATCAATCTCTCGCTCCATTTTTCCCTCATTTGTGAACAAGACCCCAAGATACTTGAACTCCTCCACTTGGGGCAGGACCTCCTCCCTGACCCGGAGAAGGCACTCTACCCTTTTCCGGCTCAAGACCATGGCCTCGGATTTGGAGGAACTGATCATCATCCCGGCTGTGTCGCACTCTGCTGCGAACCACTCCAGCAAAAGCTGTAGATCATGATCTGATGAAGCCAACAGGACTATATCATCTACAAAAAGCAGAGACGCAATCCTAAGGCCACCAAAACGGATCCCCTCAACACCTTGGCTGCGCCTAGAAATTCTGTCCATAAAAGTTATGAACAGAATCAGTGACAAAGGGCAACCTTGGCGGAGTCCAACTCTCACCGGGAACAAGCCTGACTTACTGCCGGCAATGCGGACCAGTCCCTGACACCGATCATACAGGGACCTAACAGCCCATATCAAAGGGCCTGGTACCCCATACTCCCAGAGTACCCCCCACAGGGTTCCCCGCGGGACGTGGTCGAACGCCTTCTCCAAGTCCACAAAGCACATGTAGACCAGTTGGGCAAACTCCCATGCACCCTCCAGGACTCTGCTGAGAGTGTAGAGCTGGTCCAGTGTTCCATGACCAGGACAAAAATCGCACTGCTCCTCCTGAATCTGAGGTTCGACTATCCGCCGAACCCTCCTCTCCAGAACCCCCGAATAAACCTTACCAGGGAGGCTTAAGAGCGTGATCCCCCTGTAGTTGGAACACACTCTACGACCCCCCTTTTTGAATAGGGGGACCACCACCCCGGTCTGCCAATCCAGGGGAACTTCCCCCGATGTCCACACAATATTGCAGAGTTGCGTAAGGCAACACAACCCTACAACATCCAGAGCCTTAAGGAACTCCGGGCCAATTCCATCCACCCCTGGGGCCCTGCCACCGAGGAGCTTTTTAATCACCTCGGTGACCTCAGCACCAGAGATTGGAGGGCCCGACCCAGAGTCCCCAGGCTCTGCTTCCTCAGTGAAAGACGTGCCGGTGGGATTGAGGAGGTCTTCAAAGTATTCTGCCCACCGACCCACGACATCCCGAGTTGAGGTCAGCAGCACACCACCCCCACTATAAACAGTGTTGGTGGTGTACCGCTTTGCCCCCCTGAGACGCCGGATGGTGGACCAGAATCACCTCGAAGCCATGCGGAAGTCATTCTCCATGGCCTCTCCAAACCCCTCCATGCCCGAGTTTTTGCCTCAGTGACCACTCGAGTCGCATGTTGCTTGGACTGCCGATACCCATCAGCTGCTTCCGGGGTCCCACAGGCCAAAAAGGCCCGATAGGACTCCTTCTTCAGCCTGATAGCATCTCTCACTGCCGGTGTCCACCACCGGGTTCGAGGGTTGCCGCCGCGACAGGCACCAACAACCTTGCGGCCACAGCTCCGGTAAGCCGCCTCGACAATAGAGGCACGAACATGGCCCACTTGGACTCAATGTCCCCTACCTCCACAAGAACGTTTTGAAGTTCTCCCGGAGGTGGGAGTTAAAGCTCCGTCTCACAGGAGACTCTGCCAGATGTTCCCAGCAAACCCTCATAATACCTTTGGGCCTGCCAGGTCTGACCGGCATCCTCCCCCACCATCTGAGCCAACTCACCACCAGGTAGTGATCAGTGGACAGCTCCGCCCCTCTCTTCACCCGAGTGTCCAAGACGTGGCCGCAGATCAGATGAGACAACGACAAAGTCGATCATCGAACTGCGGCCTAAGGTGTCCTGGTGCCAAGAGCACATATGGACACCCTTATGCTTGAACATGGTGTTTGTTATGGACAATCCATGACTAGCACAAAAGTCCAACAACAGAACACCACTCGGGTTCAGATCAGGGGGGCCATTCCTCCCAACCACACCCCTCCAGGCAAGGCCGGATTAACCATATGGGCAATTGGGCAACTGCCCAGGGGCCCTTGATCTCTAAGGGGCCCAGGGCAGTGAGGGCACAAGCAAAATATCTGGTTATCTCCTGCTTTACTTGGAGCCCTGTGCTGCACAGACTGCTGCTTCCGCTGCATTTGTGCAGCCCCACCTCCTCCCAGCGCGGCTGCCGCAGCTCTCGTTTTTTTTTTTTTTCAATCTGATCCTCCACGGCGCAACCTGCCAATCAACTCAGAAGGCGTGTCAGTAACTGACCAATCGACGACCTCAATTTGTCCCGAAGGTAAACGCCCCTTACTTGCTGACAAGCTCATCAGTTTTTTTTTCTTGAGAAACATCGTTTTAAATAGAACAATAAGTTTGTATCTGTTGTGAGATGACTTTAGGAGTTTTGCAGTTTTTTAATCTACTTAATGAAGAATAGTATGACTTCAAATCGTTCATAAAACAAGAAGGAAGGCTTATTATCCCTCCTCTTACTACAGTGAATGTGGTACTTTGCTATAAGTATGACTATATTCATGGCATTAGAGAAAGCTGAACTTAAGTTATCCACATAAAGTAAAATGGCATCAGCATGAAAAGAAGGAATGTTACGTTTGAGATTAATCCTGTTTCTGATGTTTGACCAAAAACTTTGTATTGATATGAAAAAAATTGCTTGAGGGATTCATCTTCTGATTTACAAAAGGCACACAAATCAACATCAAATTTAAATCTTATTTCAAGAAACATGGCTACAGGATATATCTTATTTATTATTTTAAAATGATTCTCTTTCACTTTAGAAGATTTAGGCCATTTGGCAAATTTAGAATTAGCAGAAGTCATACTGGTTTTATGATTTATATTGGGAGGTTTCTTGAAGGAATCTTTGTTATAATCAGTAAATCCTATGTCACAAACATTCATTGATAATCTTATTACATTTGAAGTCAACTAAGTTACAGGCATTTAATTTTAATGTGGGCATCAAATTGTCACCTTTGAATATATAATATTTTTAATTATTGAATCAGCTGTTGGTCAGGTTACTTCTTGTTGTGCCATTAGCTCTAAAATAGTTACTGAATCAAGTGTTTACTTCCATCCATCCATGGGGGTAGCAGCCTAAGTGGGGAGGCCCAGACTTCCCTCTCCCCAGCCACTTGGACCAGCTCCTCCAGGGGAATCCCAAGGTGTTCCAAGTGTTTACTTATGTAGGTAAAACTAGATGTTAAACAACCATTAAAATACACTAGAATGCAGGAAATGGCATGTACTTTACTCAAAATTTTCTGGGGGAGGACCCCATCAGTGTGTGTCCCCCCACACACATTATAAATGCTTCTGACACCAGTGGCCAACACATTACTAAACAAGTACACATATGGTGTCATGTGATATTCAACTTAAAGTGCGTTCAGCTTAATTCAGTCTTGATGATTTGTGTCAATGAGCATTTGGAGTTTTATACATAAAAACACACTTGATAGTTAGAATTTTAAGTATATTTACTGTATATTATGGTAATTTATTCTGTATTTTGCCAGATTATGGTGATTCTGGGGTTGTGATGATGGGGCCCTTGAAGATTGTTGCCCAGGGTACAGCCAAGTGTTAATCTGGCCCTGCCTCCAGGTCTCACCGTCATTGCCCACGTGAGCATTGAAGTCCCCCAGCAGAACAAGGGAGTCCCCAGGAGGTGCACTTTGGTATTGGTATAAAGTTTATTCATTAAAAAAACAAAAACAAAAAA